ATTCCCAGTTTACAAATGATGAAACAGAGGCACAGGACATTCAATGACTTGTCCTGGGTGGCAGGGCCAGGCTTCTGTCCGGTTCTTCCTAACTCTGACAGAAAACAGGTATAAGCTGGTGTCTGGGTTTGCTTCAAATTTCTTCCTGGAAACTTCCTTTCTTCATGCAGACCCAGCCTGCCCTGGGGGACATCTGCATCCCTGGCTCACGTCTCCTTGATTTCCCTGGGGTGCTATTGATCACCTGGACAAAAAAAGTTGCCAAACCCATTAGATGCTAGCGTTTGGTGGGAAGAGTCAGGTAATCCACAGAGTAACTCATTGCTGTACCTCAGCCGCCAACTTCCCCAAGACCTCAAAGCCATCCCTGCCTGGCCTACTGCCCACAGGGTGCCCACCTAGTGCTGGGAAGTGGGTGGGAGGCCCCAGCAGCCTGGTGGGAGGGAGGCAGCCTGGGGGCTCGATGGGAGAGCAGGCACCTGAAGCCTCCAGCTCTTTATCTTGAGAAATATGGTCTGCGGGGCCCAAAGCAGATAGGCGCTCTGCCATGGGCACTGAGCCCAGACTTCAGAGCAGCCATTATACCCTCTTGTCCTCCTGCTCAAGAAGACAGTGCTTCCCCACTCTTCTCTTCCCTGAGATTCAGGGCGCCTTTCATATCTCACTTGGGGCTGAAAGCCCCATATGCTGGACGACTTGCACTCCTGGGAGGAAATGCACCTGGAAAGGCACCCTGCCCTGGGGCCCCACACGGCTCTGCAGAAAGTGCCAAGGCCAGCTATGTGACACTTGGCCTGAAAGAAACAGAACCATAGACTGTGTCTGGTGCAGTGTACGTTGACAGAGACTGCCACTTGTCACCTCCCCTGCCTTCCTGAAGGCACTAGAGTAAGTACCTTTGGGGCTCCTTGCTCTCGCTGTCAGAGCCCCTTCCTGAAGGCACTAGAGTACCTTTGGGGCTCCTTGCTCTCGCTGTCAGAGCCTTGATGGGAGGGATAGGCTTTCCTCACAACCCTAGTGTCGCCAAGGGCAGGTGTGTGTCCTAAAAGTGGACTCTTGAAAAACATGCTCAGCAATAGAGGAGACATGATAGTCCAGTGGTTACTTGCCAGAAAGACTTAGGGCTCCGTTTGAATCCTTGTAGTAAACCAACCTGCCTCCCTTCGGTAGCATTATGCTGACATCGG